TTTTTGTGTTACTTCTCGGATAAGTTTTCAGAATCGTCTCTCGTATTTTACTTTCATTTTTATTCATAACTCTGAATGTAATAAAATTACGACAGCTGGTATCACAGCTTGCCTAGCTTGATTATTTACTAAGACGTAGGAAAATTAACAATTTTTAAGGGCACTGTTATCCCTTAACTTAACTAGCCAGGTATCACCAAAAGGAGATCAGCACTTGTCTTTTCCATGCCAATATTTTTGGGTCATTCATCTCAACAAATCTAAAATTTCAAAATTGTTATGTAATAGTTACACAATCCGACACTTTTACTAGTTTATCCAAAAAATATACTTAAATAATAATTAACTTACTATCTTTTTATCCTTTAAACTTTTTAAAATATATTATATATTTTAGAATGCAATAAAGTAAATAAAAAATTTACCATGATTCCTATTTTGCATAAAACTATATACATTTAATTTTAATACATTTTTATCTAATTGTTGAGTAAAAACTACATGGAGAAATTATATTTAAAAAAATATCGACCGGCATTATCGAAAAAAACTGTAATTTATATTTATTATCGTGTCATATAAGTATTATGGTTGGATATAATAAATATATATGGTTATAGTATATTAAATAAGCGTGTTGTTTTCACTTATACAACTTTTAAATATTACTTTCCTGATTACCATTTACACTATTATATAACAAAAATAAAAATTATACTGCAAGTGCAGTATTCATGTTTTAAGTTGCGAGTTTTAATTGAGCTAAACATTTTTTTTTAATATGACATTATACTTCTTCTGCCAATATTAAAAAAAAAACCCACAAAGTCGTCAATACTAAAAAAAAGCAGGCAGTACATGGTCATAGACGTTGAATATATTAAGTCATCCAGTACGCGCTTTTAAATTATTAATTAAACAAAGCGTACCCCAGTCTGTCAAATAAAATATATACACTTATGTGAATAAAATACAAAAGTAAAATGAGAAAATTATTTCAATTAAAAAAAAAAAAAAAAGCGGGCAGTACTTGGTTAGAGTACTGATGAAATCATATCGCCCAGTACGCGCTTTCGTAATGATAGCTAAAAAAAACTAGACAGTTAACTACAAAAAATATGGCATTGCTTTGTGGTCATAAAAAAAATTTATATGAATACAAACAAAACATAAAATGGCGGCAAGAAGTATATTGTACAAGAGCACGTTCTTAAAGTCAACACTAACGATATAAGAACTGAAGTTAGAATTTTGGTAAATGTTTTCCTCATTAAAACTCCAAGGCTTAAAAAAGTTGAAAGTTTATTGCTTTAACAGCTATAAATCAAAAATCTACAAACAAAATAATAGTGTAAAATAATTGAACAATGTAAAAAGTGAATACATTTAATTTAATTTTCTAAAGTTAAAATTAATTGACCAAACAGCTTTTGATGATTTTATTTATATTGCGATGGTAAATATATATTCATATTATATAATATGTATAATATATATTTATTAATATAAAGGTAGCTTATAAATAATTCAACACAACCATGATATTTATATTACATTCAATTAGACTTTTGACTTGTTTTATCGATAATAATGGTAGTCATACGAATATGGTTTTCTTCATTGTACGAGTATTATGTTTATATTTTCTAATGCATAAAATGTCCTTCATTTCATCTTACAGTTAAAACATTATTTTAGTCAGAGTTCAATTAAAATAATTAAATAATAAATAAATCAATATTAAGAAGATTTTACTATTTTATATGAAGGTTAGAAAACAAAAATGTCTTTAGGAACATATGTTTTTAAAGTTTATGCAACTGTCTCAAAATATACCATAACGAATAAAAAAATTCAATTTTTCATTGTGTGACACGAATTTAACGTCTGTTCAGGTAATTTATTTTAAAAAATATCTGTTCTTTGAATTTCTCATAAAAAAATATAAATACTAAAACAATTAATCATAGCACAATTGCTAAGAGTCATTTGTGTTTCAATCATTAAAAACCTAAAAATATAATTGTATTACCAAATTAATTGTATTAATAATAAGGTTAATCAAAATCAGATAACCAGATAATATATCTACTCTCCTTTTAGTGGTGAATGACTCCTTTGTGGGTAATATCCTACGTTTTAAACTGCTAAAAAAAATTGGCTCTTTGGGAATTTATATGAATGATCGTAGTGCATACGCGTTTTCATCTCTATACACTGTTACAACCATAGGATGAAATAACAGACATTAACCGTCTTAACTATTCAATTTCTTAAAAAAATTAACCATATATCACATTTATATGGTTTTTATCCAGCGTTTATTTATGTTTCTTTTAAAATTGTTGAACTTTTAGTTGCATCTCATTCCATGTCTCAACCTTAAGGGTTCCTCATCTATACAAACCCTGCTAAAATAATCAATAATAAATTAACCAAAAAGATCTCTGTTCGGTTTTGTCGTCGGAAGGCGGTGGACTAGACACACCGCATTTATCGTTAGTAAAAGCAGAAAACAAATCGCTGGACGCTGGCGAGAAAGCCTGGAATGTTATTCCGGATTTCACATTTAAATGGTTTTTTACCTGTGTGTACACGTTTTCTTCTCTCTATTTCTGTGGTTCACAACCTTTTTGAGACTGAGTCTATCTTGTTACATACATAGTAAGACAGTAAAGTCATTCACCGACGTTAACTCTTTTATTCAGTTTGATAACGGTAATACCCTCCTTTTAGAAGTTCTTTTAAAAGAAATATTAAAATGTGTTCAGCAAGCCCTTTGGTCGTGAATGATTCTACGACTTTGGAAACAAATTATTTCTGTGTTGTATGATGTGTATCAGTTATAATAAAATATGTAGACCTGTAACCTCTCCGTCACCACTATGCCCCGACCCAACTGTACTAGTTTTTTTTCATTGTGTGACACAAAAAAAAGGAATTATTTTTAAATAAGAAATATTAATAGGTTTTCATTGACTTCATTGGCATGTATCACTTAATACTGCTGAAATTCACAATATACTCTATTTCACATTTGAAGGGCTTCTATCCAGCGCGTACACACATACTAGTGTGTTGTAAGGTCACTTTTTTGAGAAAATCTCTTTTTGCAAATGCTATTCATCGAATGATCACCATTATTTTGTAGAACTACTACCGTGTTTTATTTCTTTGGTGCTATTTGTAATATAATAATAATACAATGTTTATGTAGTTGGGTTTAAAAATGGCAGATTTCACATTGGGAAGGAACTACAGTACTTCATTTATTCTAACGCATATCCGTTATCTTTTTTTAATACCATAGAATATGAAAATTAGTAAAAATTAGATTAGAATATGAAGGGTTGATATTTTTACAAGTCATAGCACGATTGCTAAAGTCATTTGTGTTTCATTTGTTTCAATTATTAAAAACCTAAATAAATATTTGTATTGCCTAAATAAAAGCAAGTCTGTTCTCTGAGTTTTGCCTTATTTAATATTAATCAAAATCAGATAACCAGATAATATCAAGTATGAGTTAGTTTGATAATGCGTACTCGTTTTTTTCTCTACTCTTCTTTTGGTATGGAATGGCTTCTTGGGTATATTCTCCGTTTACAACTGTCGAAATAAATCGGTTTATTGGGAACTTAGATATTCTATGTAATCTCTAAACTCCACGTACGTAGTTGCTAGTGGAAGGCCTTTGTCGTCACTACAGTAAGATCTCTGTTCCCATGGAAATGTACAACTACACTGTAATCTATTCTAACGCATATCTGTGCTCTGATTTTCATATAATAAAATAAGAAGATTAGAAAAAACAATGGCAATTAAAGTTTTACGGTATTTCATTACCTAATATAAATTACAATGGTGTACAAAAACCGTATTTATCGTTAGAAAAAGCAGAAAACAAGGCGCTAGACGCTAACGAATAAGCCTGGAATGTTATATATATATAATATAAAGCGTATTTATGAATCTTAAAAAAGCCTATAAACTATAAACCACATAATATGATCTATGAGTTAGTCATAATATAATATAGTACAATATCATTGAGATTAGCCGACATTAACTTATCGATTTGATATGCATTAATATGTATTTTGTGAGGTCAGGTTTTTCAGAAAATGTCTTTTTGCATATGCAAGGCTATTCGAATGATCATAGTTTTTTTGTAGAAGCACTACGGAATTTTCTTCTTTGGTGCTATTTGTTTAATATAAAAAGCAAAAATAATTTTCAGTACTTATTCAAAGATCTCACAAATTCACCAAGATATAGCGCATTCATCTTAACATCTTAAATCAAGATGATATGGTTATGTATTGAATACATGACCTAATATAAATCAATGTAACTTGTGTTTAAGTAAAAAATGGCAATTAAAGTCTTACGGTATTTCACTACCTATTATAAATTACAATGGTGTACAAAAAAATTAAAAAAACTGTGTAGCATGTGTGATTACCTATTTCTGTTTTTAATCGGCATGCTGATCTCAAGATACACATTAAAACAAACTTTTTTATGTATGAATTTCAGGATATCGTGAGTTTTTAAAAAATCTCAAGGTAAGCTCACATTTTAATAAATATCTTGAGATGGTATCCCAATCTGTTAGACCAATTTGCTCTGGAATCTTTTCAACAATCGAGTTATCTATTTTTGTTGGATGGCCCACTGGATATTCGTCATAGTTTAACATATACAAAATATTAATATCATAATTACTTATAAGTAGGATGATTAAATTTAATAAGAAATATGCACAATTTATAGGATTTTTATATGTTTATTAGCATTGAGTTGGATCTTTTAGCGGTAACTAGTGTACAGCTTGTACCTCCTGACAGTAAGACGGTCTTATTTAAATTTACATAACATACGCGGTCTTTAATACTTGTTATTAATAGTATTATTAAGTAAGTTTTATTTCATGCATTTTATTTTGTATTTAATACATTGAATAATTCGTAAATATAGATATAAGAACAGTATATAAATATGATTGAAAGAAACAACAATGCAATACAATTGTCAATTATTTACAATTACGATAGCTGGTATATGTTACCAACTGGCAACCTGACTTCTGAGTAATTGTATTACTTCAGTAAGTTTATCGACTTCTACTTCCCAAATTACTTCGTCGACGAATCTATATTTGCTAACACTTCCGTCTGCACCTGTTAAGGTACAAGTACCACAATTGTCAACTTCGGCAGTTATTACATATGAAGCTGGGAATTTTATACTTCTGAACAAACCTATTAAACGACACATCCGTTTGAAATCTCTGAAAGCTGATTCGTATCCAACTAAAAAATATAAAAAGTCTTTAGAAAAAATATTTAAATTTAAATTACTAATTATCGCTGTGCTTTACTATGAAACACATAACTAATAAATTTGTATATAACAAATTATAGAAAAGTAATTATAATATACAGGATATTCGTATTGTATAGCTATTTTACTCCGAATAAATAATTTATTTATATACAGTATCATGATCGAACACCTGTATTTCATAACCTATTACTCATCAAAATTATATAAAATATTTTTGAAAGCAAAAAAAAAATGTATTTTCATTCATAATTAATTTTACTGGTAACCTAGAAACTTTATATTGGTTTAATTGTAAAGAAATTTAATAAGTAATATCTTTTTATATTCTTGTTTTGAATAATGTAATTAAAAAAATAAATATATTATTTATAAGCAAAACCAGTACAACTATATGTTAATATTTACGTATTGCGGCAAGGACTAAAGATTTTGTAATTTCTTTTGTCATAACTCTTCTGGTAGTTCCAAGATCTGGCAATAAATTATCTCCAAAATCTGCAACAATTAATGAATTACATCGTTGATAGGAAGAAATAAAAATAAAAACACATTGCATTTCAAAGAACTGTACTATTGTTTTGTTTAAGTTTTTATTACGATTGAAAAAAAAAATTAACAGAAATATAATAAATATACTGCAACTATTTTGTTGAAATACGCAAATGAATTTAATAATAAACGTTTGTTAATTTTAAAAAGTAGACAAATTTTTGATAACTTTGTTTTCAATAACTTAAATTTCAAATCTCAGTTAAAATAATTTTAATAGCTTAAAATTGTATGGATCATTTTGAAACAGCAAAAAATTATCAAAATTATTTTTCCCTAGTCAATAATCCCTTACGTTGCAAATATTGGTTCTAAGTTACCTATCTTACTTTATGAGCCTTTTTGAACCCCCATGCCACTGTATGTCTATATCCAATTTCAACCCTTTCTTCTTTTTATTAAAATTGCATGTTATATGTTTTCTATATTATTGATGATTGAATGTACTAATTGCAATTATTATATTAATTTGACATAAAAAACATGTAAATTTGTACAGTGTTTTTTCACGTATTCGAAGGTGAAAAGGTGACAATATAAAAGTATTGGCCTAATATAGTACTTTTATCATGTTCATGTTTAGTATTCTAATACCAATATGGTACGATTTCTGATCCATTGATTTGTTATATGAATAAATCGGTTCGGAAGTTTCGATGATCGCAGATCCAAACACAAAAATTAGCAAAAAGGAATCAATGGGCAACTTTGGCTTTACTGGATTCGAATCTGATCAAGATAAGGGAAACCTGGATGATATTTTTATTCAAGATCTTAAGAAACTATAAAAAGAGATCCTTCTAAACTCCTTGATCTTAAAATGTTTGTACATATAAAAATATAATATTGAATAATATTTTAAAAATTTACCCATTTTAAGCATCGTAAACCAATTATCTCCTAGAAAGAAAATATAACATTAAAACTATTGCGATATACGCCTGTATATCTTGGTGGAAGTTAGTATTTAAGTAGAAAATAAAACACAACAATAATATGTTTGAACACAATACTATTAAACATAAAAACACACAGTATAAATATAGAGAATAATTTATACAATGTACTCGTACGTTACAGTTATAACAGCAGCCGTCATTGAATGGTAAATCCAACACCTTAATACTATGTCTTATATATGATATAATCTAGGTTACAAATGTAATTGGTCCTCGTATAAAACAACTTTTAAATATTACTCAATGACTTCTATAGTGCACACATTTAATACCATATAAGGTTATATAATATTTATTACTTATAACATACTTATATTCCATGACCCAAATAAACAATATTAATTATGTTCAATAAAAACACAAGTTGTTAAGAATAGAACTAGAATACTGACGTAAGAAAACTATTTTTCGTACAAGCCAGTTCACTAACTATAAGCTAGTCAATATCTTAAAAGATATTAAATTTTTTTTTAAATTATTCTCGTTCATACTTTCAAAGCAAATATTTAGCTCAAGTTTAAAATATTATTCATTTATATAACTCCAGTTCTATTTGTTAAGACCCTATGAAGTTAAGACTTTTAAACAATAATGCATATGTCATGTCAATTTTGTAAACCAAGAATATTTGCTGAAAATTTTGACTGGTTGATAACCAGTTTTTGATATTTACTTTCCCTTCCTAAATTTTGAATTCTAATAACTTTAATATGAATTACCCAAAACATAAATGCTATTCAAACATTTTTTTCCAAATATTTAGTGTATCATTAAAAAACAGGTGTAACATACAGTTCTGAAAGCTTTGTTTATCCAATTTAAACAATTTTACCGACAATAACTTAAATTACAATAGATTTATCTCTACATTGTACAAACATTTACGTTATAACTAGTAAGTACAAGCCACATTATTTTTGGCACAGTAATAAAATGTTTAAAATAATACTTTAATTGAATTACTGTCGAATAAAATTCGATTGATAATCCAAGCCTTAAGAGCTATTAAAGTATATATAATAAATGTGTGAGTACCTAGGTCTGGTTCAACTTGAGGTACAGGGACAGCTGTAACAAACGTATAAATTACTCCAATTATAATCATAATATACGTTCTTATTAAAAACTCAGTAACTATTAACTTTGAAAATTGTGCACAAAAAATGTTAAGTTAACATAGATATGTTTTTGGCTAGCTTAAAATCTGCGAACGCTGAACGTTACCAAGTATATGTAATATATTCTCTCAATACGGTGTTTGTCCTTTTGCCAAATGCAACGTGTTTTTAATTGGAATTTTGTGCTTTTTGAGTATGGCTAACGTTTGGGAACAATTGGCGGTAGAGGGAGCTTCGCCGATCAAGAACTACCCAGAGGAAGGTTGAACATTTTGTGAAAACCAAGTTCGTCGCTATACGTTGCTATAGACAGAATATCTTTGAAGACAGAAAATCGTCATAGGTATTTTTGACTTCATTTTTTACCAAATACTCCTCTGTTGTAAGCATTTTATAGTTTTTTAAATGCACATCTAAAGGTTTAGTTTCAACAACTTCAAACAACTTTTTAAAGGATTGTTCTTCTGTTTTATCATTTTTATGTTTAATTTTCAACATATTATACGAGGCGCTGGACGCTGGCGTGAAATCCTTTGATGTTTAAAATTATCATAATCACATAAAACGTTAAATTTATGTTCTCTTGCGTTTTTTCTAAGTGTATTTAAGAATGACATTTTTTTTTTTTG